AAGACATGAAGTCTGGAATTACAAGAAATGTTCTCCACCTCTTCCCTTTGTAATGAGCATTTGTTATTTCACTTAAGTGTAACTACTACTGCCTGATCAACTTGTAAATAGTGAAAAAAGTTTTGATTCAGCTCCAAATAGAAAACTCTACCAGAGAAATAATTACCAGAACTGTAACTGGTCAAACTTCCCTACCTGTTGTTATTCCATCTCACCTCGGAGTATCTGCTAAAATCCCTTATGATTCCAGGAGCTGCTAATCTCCCCCACAAAACCCTCAACCAAACAAGATGTCACAGGACATAAGACAAAGACTTGCTGTTCCAGGGGTTCTTAACCTTTTCTGGATCATGAATCTCTTTTGAAATCTGATGACACCTATGAACCCCCTTCTCAGATGAGAATTTTAAATGCATAAAATAAAAGCTATAGGACTAGTGGGTCAGTCCCTAACATTAAATAAACACCTACTGTCCCTAGCCAGGCACTGTACTAATTGCTAAGAATACAAAGAAAGGAAAAGGACAGATTGACCCTCAAGGAGCTCCCAGTCTAATGGGGGAGACATCGAACAAACAATGTACAAATGAGATAAAAACAGAATAAATTGAGAGTTTTCTCGGAGGGAAGGCACCGTGATTAAGGAGGACTGGGAAAGACTTCTTGAAGAAAGTGGGCTTTTATTTGAGACTTTGAGAAAGCCAGAGAAGCCAGGAAGTAGAGATGAAGAGGGAAAGAGTTCCAGGCATGAAAGTTATGCGAAACTTATGGGAAACAGCAAGGAGACCAGAGTCACTGGACTGAAGAGTATGTTTAGGAAAATAAAGTAATACTGGAAGGGTATGGGTGTGTGTGCGTGTGCGTGTGTGTGTTACAAAGGAAAGTATTATATTAAAATACAGCTATAAAAATATTTTTTTTAAATCAGGGCACAGTCCCGAGGTTAAGAACTCCTGAATTCTAACCCTTCCCTGTTATTTTATGGATAAGTCAACTGTGCCTCAGAGAGGATAAGTGATTCACCCAAGTTCTTAGAAGCATTAAGTAGTAGAGCCAGAATTTGGACTTGACCAGTGCATCAGCATCAGCATCAGCATCATCATCATCATCATCATCATCATCATCATTAACATTTATATAGTGCTTACTATGTGCTAGGCAATGTGCTAACTGCTTTTACAATTATTACATCATTTGATCCTTGAAACAACCCTGGGAGGTTGGTACTATTATTATCCCCATTCTACAAATGAGAAAACTGAGGTAAAAAGAATGACTTGCCCATAGACACACAGCTAGTATGGGTGGAAGGCTGGATTTGAACTCAGGTGTTCCTAACTCCAGGGACAGTGCTCTATCCACTGTGCCACCTAGCTGCTATACTATGTCAGTCAGTCAATTAGCATTTTTTAAGTGTCTATTACATACCAGGCACTGTTTTAAGTACCAGAAATACAAAGAAAGGCAAAAAAGAGTCCCTGCTCTGAAGGAGCTCATCATCTTCCTACATTGTAAGTCTTACCTCTGCAACTAGTATCATGCTCAGTATGCAGTAGGTATGTAAGTATTGTTGCCTAAGTAAAGCACAACCTGACTCTTCCTTTCTCCCAGAAGCTTTCCCAGAAAGAACAGCATCTTCTCCTTAGATTTGTATAATGGGCACTGGTATGTCTCCACTCATTCACTTACACTTGTACCAATACAAGTTCTACATGAAGCCCAGTGTTCTAATTGGCACTGGACACTTGCTCCTTAGAAGGAAAGCTATGGCAAATCTGGACAGCATACTCAAAAGCAAAGACAGCATCTTGCCAACAAAGGTCTGCATAGTCAAAGATACAGTTTTTCCAGTAACAATGTATGCCTGTGAGAGTTGGACTACAAGGAAAGCTGAGCACTGTAGAACGGACACTTTTAAATTGTGGCTCTGGAGAAGACTTCTGAGAGTCCATTGGACAGCAAAGAGATCAAATCAATCAATACTCAAATTAATTCAGACCACTCACTGGAAGGACAAACACTGAAGCTGAAGCTTAAATTCTTTGGCCACATAATGAGAGGACACAACTCATTTTGAAAGACCCTAATGGTGGGAAAGATCGAAGGCAAAAAGAGAAGGGGACAACAGAGAATGAGATGGATACATAGTGTCACGGAAGCAATAAACATGAACTTGGAAAGACTTCGGGAGATGGTGGAGGATAGAAGGGCCTGGTGTGCTGTAGTCCATTGGTTACGAAGAGTTGAACATGACTGAATGAGAGAACAAAAAACAACAACAACAGCAAAAGCAAAAAACAACATAAATGAATAGTAATAATTAATATATCTTTCCTTTTTCACTACCATCTTGATAGTGAAAGGCCTCTGGTTGATGGCTCTCAAGCACTTCACTGAAGGGAAGAAGAAAGTGCTGCAGGGAAATATCTTGAAGTCCATAAACTCTAGGCTCTAGCTAGTGATAAAAAATGACAAACATATGCTGGGCTACCAACAAATTCTAAATATGATCAGGCATAGCAGAGGGTAAGATGGATAGACAGTGTCATAGAAGTAACAAACATGAACTTGGACAGATTTTGAGAGGTAGTAGAGAATAGAAGGGTCTGGCATGCTATGGTCCATTGGGTCACAAAGAGTTGGACACAACTGAACAACAATGAAATTGTATAATGGGCCTGCCAAAAGCCACAGAGAAAATCTGCCTCATTACTCTATGGTCATACCTCATATTTAGACAAACAGGGCTATTCATGTGTCTACCTCTATTACCTATAATCAACTAAATACCCACAAGTTTTTAATCCTGGGTTAGCTTTCCCTTCCTACTCAAAGTGAATCCAGTCAGTCATTCAACAAGTCAGTCAACAAGCCTAGATTAAGGGTCTACTATCACTTATGACTAATATGGAAATATTTTGCATGACTTCACATGTATAATCAATATCACATTGCTTGCCTTCTCAATGGGTAGGGAAGGGGTAGGGAGGGAGAGAGAATTGAGAACTCAAAATTTTCAAAAATGACATAAAACTTTTGCATACAATTAGAAAATATTTAATGAAATAAACGAAAATAAAAATAAAACATACTATTGCTAACCTCTCTCTTCCTCCTCTCCACCCTCCACAGTTACTTGATGCGGTTAAACACTGAAGTTAACCTTAACCTAGGTATCTTAACCTGGGGTCTATGAACTTGATTTTTTTAAAAAAATGTATATTTTGATAACTTTATTTCAATATAATTGGTTTCTTTTTTGATACTGTGTATTTGATTTTATGCATTTAAAAACATTATTCTGGGAAGAGGCACTAAGCCTTCAGCAGACTGACAAAGGGATCTATGCCTTAAATGGAGCATTAGGAAGATAAGGATTTCAGAAAAAAGAAAGCCAATTATAATCACCAATGGTATAGATCATTCATGTTATTCATCCCTTCTAAGATTATCTTCTGTCTATTCCAATAGATTCTAAATTTCTTAAAGGTAGAGACTCTTTCTTTTCACTTCTATTTGCATTCTCAGACTTAGCACAATGTCTGACATCTAGATGCTAAATTAATGTTTATTGACTAACAGGACTGATTGACTCTAAATATTTTACATGTACTTAATTATTTATCTATTGTCTACCCTTTAGAATATAAAATCCTTGAGGGCAGGGGTTGTTTTCCCCACCCTTAGCACAGAGTCAGGCACAAAGTAAGTGCTTATTAAATGCTTATTGGCTTAATTGATCAGTCCCTTTTACGATGCAAATAATAAAGCTAGTCTCTGATTTCTCTTTTTAGGTCTGTAAGCTTCTAAATGGCAACGGTCAGGCTTTTTTCCCTATTCAGGCAATTCAGTATAGTATGGAACATTCTATCAATAAATAATGACTAAGAGTGACTGATGCAGTCAATGAGGAAGCAACTACTTGGTGTGTGCGTGTGATGTAATCCCACACTGCTGTTGTTCAGTAGTGTCTGACTCTTCGAGACCCCATTTGACATTTTCTTGACAAAGATACTGAAGTGGTTTTCCATTTCCTTCTCCAGCTCATTTAACACATGAGGAAAAAGGGTTAAGTGACTTGCCCAGGTTCATACTTGCCCTGATTCCAAGCCCAGTGCTCTAATCATATTACCAGCTAGCTGCCCGATTCCATACTAAATCACAGTAGATAAAAATTTATGTATGGAAGGAACCTCCAGAACTCTAACCCAAGAAGGTAGGTGGCATAGTAGATACAGACTGGACCTAGAATCAGGAAGACTTGAGTTCAAATCTTGCCTCAGATACTTCCTATCTGTGTGACTCTGAGCAAGTTACTTAACTTTTCTCTCAGGTTCAGTTTTCTCATCTGTACAATGGGAATAATAGCACCTACCTCCCAGGACTGCCATGAGAATCAAATGAGATGACATATGTGAAGCACTTTGTAAACCTTAAAGTGCTATATGAATGCTAGCTATTATTGTTAATCTCCCTCTGCCCCTCAATAGCACCCACTATCAAATCTCTGCCCATGACTAGCATGGCACTGAGAAGCATTTCTACACACTTTTTATAGAATCACATAGGAGTTCGAAAAACTGTGTCTTGTGAAACTTCATAGAAAATGGGAGAATGGCAGGTCCCTGGCCTCATTTGCCCTCGCTGTTAGATAATTATGCCACAGCTATCTATATTCCCAAGACAAGAACCTGTAGTCAGCCTGCCTCAATAACCTTAATAATAATCACCCAGGAAAAGACCCCGGTCAGTGTGGGTGCTTCTTAAGTAGTAAGACATCTTTCAGGGAGTCGGGTATCAATTCCCCAGACAACAATAACTAAATCATCATTTATTCTTTCCACATTCTCCAAAGCTGCTTTTTTTTTAAAGACAAAAGTAAATACCATTTTTGTACTCAATATTATCTCTGTTTCTTCTTATAGATCATCAAGCAGACTTCCCTTACAAGTCAAGAATCTTTCACATAGCTAGCAGAAGTCACAGACATGCTTCCTTACCTGAGAACTGGGAACCAGAGCTTTCCACCAGTGCCCCCCCTTCACCAGGTCCACTTCACTTAAAGGCACGGAAACTTTCCCAATGACACAGTGACGTGAGAATTTGTCAAAATCCACTATAGTTAAAAGCAAAGTTCTTCTTTGGGCTTCTAGAAATGGGATCTCAAAGGTGTAGCGCTCTTCAAACACAGGGTTCTGGGTCTTGCGTTTGACACCTGTCTGCTTGGAATTCTTCTGGTCTGGCAAGAGGCAGATCTTCACATAGGGGTTTGAATGAGCCATATCTTGTCGAGAGCCATCATAGGAGATGGGAGGTGGTAAGTCCCTGGCCTCAATCACCCTTACTGTTAGGTAGTTATGCAGCAGATCATATTGGGTGCTGAAATGTAGCATGCCCAGCTGGTACTTGGATAAGATCTCCTCATCAGTCAGTGAGTCCATGTCATCACTGTTAGAGTCAAGGGAATATAATCTGAGCTCGAACTTCCTAAAATAGTCATCAGGGGTGTAGGTCCTTCTCAGCACTGATGGTTGGATGATTTCTTTCTTGGCTCCAATAATCCCAAACTCAATTGGTTTAATATCAATTAGTGGTGAGCTGGGCCGCCTGGACTCAAGACCTAAACAGTAGTCACACAGAACATTGGTGATATCACTTTGTAAATAACACAGGGTTCTTTTATATCTATTTTATTTCACAGGTCCATCAATAAATATTTATTAAGTGCCTACTATGTGCTAGGTACTGTACTAAGGAAGCTGCATGGTGTATTTAGTAATAAGAATACAAGACTGAGATTCTAAAGACACAGGTTCTAATTCTGACTCTCAATAGGTGGCACAGTAGGTAGAGTACTCGACTTGGAATCAGAAAGAATCCTCTTCATGAGTTCAAATCCAATCTCAGACATTTACTAGCTATGCGACTTGGGCAAGTCACTTAACCCTGTTTGCCTCAGTTTCCTGTATGTTAAATGAGCTGGAGAAGGAAATGGCAAACCACTCCAATATCTTTGCCAAGAAAATTCCAAACGGGGTCACAAAGAGTCAGACATGACTGAAAAATAACTGAACAACAACTTTGGGTTGTCATTTCAATTATCTCTACCATACTATTTAATTTCCTTATTTGTAAAGTGAAGTAGTTCGCAGCATGGTACGGTGAGGGAAATGCTGGATTTGTAGTTGGGGACCAGGTTTCAAAGTGTGGTTCTGCCATTTACTGCCTGTTCAACACTAGGTCAATGTTGGGCCTCTTTGGACCTCTCTTTAATCATCTGTAAAATGAAAGAGTTGAACTCTGAGGTCTCTTCCCACTTGAGATCTATGATCCCAAGATTCTAAGATCTCTAAAATGAGGGTTAGATTCAGAGGTGTCAAACTTAAGGACCCCTGGCCACAATCACCTGCAAAACTCCTTAGTGCTGGCCTTAACCAAATTAAAATGTAATTGGGAAATGTTTAACAAAATAAATAAAAATACAATTCAACATAGATAATGTTAATTTGAGGTTTTCTAAGTCAGTATACAGCCAGCAAGGATCTGTTTCTATTTGAGTTTGACACTGGTTGATTAGATGGTCCCTAAAATCTCTTTTGATGTGCAACCAGGTAGCTCAGTGGATACAGCACTGGGCCTCAATACATTTACTAGCTGTGTGACCCTGAGCAAGTCACTTAACCCTGTTTGCCTCAGTTTCCTCATCTGTAAAGTTCCTGAAGAAGGAAATGGCAAAGCAATCCAATAACTCCATCACGAAAACTGCAAATGGAGTCACAAAGAGTCAGACATGACTGAGAAAGACTGAACAACTACCAAAAAAAAAATAATAATAATAAGGTCTCTTTTAGCTCTTTGAATTCAAGAGTTCAAAACCAGCTTTAGGTCAAATTGCAATAGGTAAAATTTGATACACCACTGAATGTTGGAACTCCAAGAGACTTCAAAGGTATTTCCCTTAATTCTGGTACCTTCCTTCTATGATTATCTCCCATTTATACTGTATATATCTTGTTTGTACATAATTGTTAGCATGCAATTCCCCCCACCCCCATATTTGACTGTGTGCTCCTTGAGAACAGGGACTGTTCTTTGCCTTTCTTTACATCCCTAGAATTTAGCACAGTGCTTGGCTAGTCTTGTTAGGCATTTAATAAATGCTTGTTGACAATCTTAGAAATCATTTAGTCATAATCACTTATTTTGCAGTTGAAGAAAATAAATTCTAGAAAGAATAGGTTCCTTTTGACTTTCTTTTCTTTTTTCTCCAACAAAATCTATTGTCAGGAAAGTATCCAAAAACATTTTTCACATCAAAACATGAATAACTGTTAAGTCAGCATGCCACCTCTTCCAATATGTTATGTTTTTTGCCTTATCCCCAGCAGAATAAATTGATATTTTTTGTTCAGTCATTTTTTAGTCATGTCTGACTCTTCCTGACCCCATTTGGGGTCTTCTTGGCAAAGATACTGGAGTGGTTTGCCATTTCCTTCTCCAGCTCATTTTAAAGATGAGGAAACCGAGGTAAACAGGATTAAGTGACTAGCCCAGTCTTCAGCTAGTAAATGTCTGATGCTGGATTTGAACTCAGGAAGATGAGTCTTCCTAACTCCAGGCCCCTTGGTCTATACACCAAACCACTTAGCTGCCCCTTAAATGAGCCTTTACCTTGTTAAAAGAACTGAAGTCTCAGGTAGCCTAGGAAAAGAGGGATGGGGGTGGTGTCTGGTCCCCACTATCTACTTCCTGAAATCATATCGCATGACATACAGCCTACTACATACCCATTCTATACCTTCTAGGTACCTGTGAGATGGGAAAATCATGACAGAGAGCTAGGTATAGTGGAAGGGTCACAGAACACCAGTGTTCAAATTACTATTCCCAACTTCAACACACAATAACAATGTGACCAAGGGCAAGTCAGATAACTTTCCGGAGTCTGTTTCCACATCTGAAAATGGGATTAATAGTTACTGAACTCAACTGTCTCATGAGGTTGTTGGGAAAAAAAAATTCCATAAACCTTAAAGTGGTACATAAATGAAAGCTGCCATTATTACAACTGATAATAATAGTAATCAATTCAGTCAATCTAATTAAACAACTGATCAATTCAATGAGGCAGAGGAAAAAGTCAACCAAATTCATTGGATTTGTAGTTGTGCAGAATCATGTATCAACACAACACTCCCCCCCATTTTTTTTCAGATAAAACAGCTTAGATCAGAGAGGAAAGAAGGAAGGGAGGAAGGGATGAAAGAGGCCAGGAGGGAAGAGAGAGAGGGAAGGAAGGAAGGAAGGAGTGAGGGAGGGAAGGAGAGGGGAAAGGATGGAAGGTGGGAGGAAGCAAAGAAGAAAAGAGAGGGGAAAGGGGGAAGGAGGGAGGGAGAAAAGAAAGGAAGGAAGGAAAAAAGGAGGAAGGGAGGAAAAAAGGAAAGGAGTAGTAAGAGGGAGGAATAGAGGAAGGAAGGACAAAAGAAAGGAGGAAGAGAACAGAGGAAGGAAGAAAGGAGGGAGGAAAGGGGAGGAAAGAAAGAGGGAAGAATAGAGGAAAGAAGGAAGGAAAGAAGGAAAAAAGCATTTACTATTGTCTATTAATTAAGCACCTACTACATGCCAGGTATGGTGCTAAGAGCTTTACAAATATTTTCTCATTTTCCTCACAGTAACCCTAGAAGACAGGTATTATTTTTATCGCCATTTTACAGACAGACAGAGGTTAAGTGACTTTCCCAGGGTCACAAAGTTCGAGACTTTCTGACTCCAGGTGCAGTACTCTAGCCCTTGCACCTGTGAAGATTTGCCTAAGGTCACACAGCTAGTTGGGGCCATTAACTAAAACCAATCAACTCATTAGACACAACTTTAGTGCCACAAACAAACAAAAATCCACTCCACTTCCATCAGCTTTGTTTTCTCATAATCAAGGCCACCTTGAGTGAGCCATCAATGCAGGGTCCAGTCTTTTTCTTCCCAGCCCTTCCTCCTCCAGCAACTCTGCCTCTTTCTTCTTTGTTTGGGAACACTGATGTTCCTAAGTGAATCTGCTCTGTCTGTTCTCCTGGCAATGCATTTGATGGAATTTTAAATGGGGTTTCTCGAGCTATAATTTTCACAGAAGGTGACTGCCTAGAAGCTTACTTGAAATCCTCCGGGTAAGGCTGTATGCAGACTTAGATGTATCTGAAGACGACCGTCTCTGATCTGGGGAGTCATCCTGTGGGGTTGGAGGAGCCTCACTGGCAGTGTGGTCTGAGTTCCCATTCTTATCTTCATTCCGGTTGCTCATCCTAGTGAAGGGGAAGAGACTTCAGGAGTAGCCCAGGAGAAACTGATCGGGTCCTCAGGAACTACTATCTTAATTAGTTAATGACTTGAGAAATGACAACATGGAGGTGTGCTTTGCTGTAAAGAAAAAAATACGAATTGCTCCCTTTTCTTCAGAATTAGAATCATAAGCTCAGAAGAGAGACACACAGGGTTGGAAGCATACTGTGTTTACTTCTCTTCAAACTCCACAGGGGAAGACCTAGGAAAGCCAGAAATGGAGAAATATCTGCCATATAGCCCACCTGCAGATAGTCTTCCCTTTCACCCACCCACCCTTGGTTTTTCTAGATCTTCCTTGGCCCTTGGGATGTTTGCACCGAAGTAAACACAATATGGATACTATCTGCAGATACTACCTTTCCCCTACACTGGGGGAAATGGGAATGGTACAGGATTTGTAGTCCAGAGACCTGGGTTAAAATCCTGGCTCTAATACTTATTAGTTAGTGACCATGGCAAGTCAATTCATCACTTTGAGCCTCAGTTTCCCCATTTACAAATTGGAGGTAATACTTACGCTGACTCTATCACAAGATTGTGAAGTGTTCTGCAAACCTTAAATTGATAAGCATAAGCCAGTATTTCATCCAGCAGCCATTAGATTATGCCCATCTTTACCTAGAACTCTGAATTTCTGACCTATAAGATACTATCCTTTCAAGAAAGACTAGCTTTCTCTATCCTTAATTTTAATTATAATATTTATTTGTGTATATGTTGCACTTCCCCAGAAGAATATAAGTTCTTTGAGGGTAGAGACTGTAGTTGTTTTTTTTTTTTCATTCCCAGTGCCAAGTATAGTCCCTGAGAGTAGGTGCTTAATAAATGTTTGCTGAACTACATAAGTGCTTAATAAATGCTTATTGAATTACTAACTGAATTTCACAAAGTCTTCACTCATTCCCTCAATTAATCCCCCAAGATGTAATAATCTCAGACTCCTCTGAACTACTCCAGCCCTTACTATAAGTTGCCTTGTATTATAATTATCTGGGTACTTGTCTTATTCCTCCTACTAGACTATGAGCTCCTTAAAGGCAGGGACCATGTCTTCTCATAAATCATAAAGCTAGAGGGGACTTCAAAGGTCTTCAAGTCCAAACCCTATATTTTACGGATGAGGAACTGAGGTTAGAGATTAAGTGGCTTGCTCAAGGTCACACTGTAAGGATCAGAACCCAGGTCTTCCTCATGCCAGCCCTCTATCCACCATGGCATAGTGCCTTATTCATTCCTCTATTCCCCCAAAGGGCCTAACACAGGGCCTTGCCCATTAAATGTCACGTGTTGAATATAAAACATAAATAAATGAAGCAGCAGTGTTTCCTGAGGTGGGAGAGATTTCACCATATGTCTTGAGCATGTGTCACAAGTCGTATGTTAAGTTCACATGCATGTGTCTCACATACACACCTGTTGCCCTACCCTGTACAAACTGGTACCTTGTGCCCACTGCTGTCATCACAGCCCCCCATGAGGTGCCAGAGGGCAGGCTTCCTTGAGCTGAGCACAGGCACTGCATGAGAAACAGCACAGCCAGGCCTGCACACTTGACATTTCCATTCCCTGCTTGTTTAAATATATACAACTGCCTACTCAGTAAATAAATCTGGGGATGCACAAACTATAACATCATTTTAAAAAACCACTCATACCTTTCTAGGAGCATTTTTTACAAATTATCAGACATTTAGTTGGGCCCCCAAAATATGTTAAGTATTGACCACTGCTCAGAGGGAAACCAAGTCCTCTCTTATCCTGCCCAGGTGCATTCCTATCTCTTACACTACAGGTTAAACTATAGGTCATTCACCAATTGTTTGTTAAAGAGAGAACAACAAAAATTCCCTGGCCAGGAAAGGTCCAGACCAAAGTTAACAAGCATTTATTAAGCTCTGGGGGTATAAAGAAAGGCAAAAGCAGTTCCTGCCTTCAAGGAGCTTACATTCTAATGGGGATGGGGAGAGGGGACAACATGTAAATACATATAAAATAGATAAAAAGTCATATCAGATTGGAAGGCATTAGTAGCTGGGGGAACTGGGAAAGGCCTTCCCCAAAAGGTTGGATTTGAGCTGTCTTGAAGATAATATTTATAAAGGGTTTAGTATTATGACTGGCACATAGAAGGTACTTAATAAATGCTTGGGGAAGGGGGAATCCAGGAGGTGGAGGTGAGCAAGGAGACCACTTCTTTATCCTGTGACTTTCTCTGGCCTCAGCTCAACTCCACTAGAGTCTCAGGGACATAAGCCACAAGACTGGGTCTCTGAAGCATTCAACAACTGGGTTTTTGTCAGATTTTTCTTTTTTCAACAGAGACTTGCTATGTGCCCACACACAGCCTCTATCTGTGGGCCAGATATCTTTCTGCTTTTACCTCAAAAGATTAGACTTGGCTGTACACAGTAGGGGAAAGGAGGGAAGGCCTCTGTGTAGAGTAGGGGGCTTCCAATTGGGAAGCTCTAGTTCTGGACATATAAAATTCTAGTCTCAACTGCCCACATAAGCATTATTTTTAACACTGCCCTTGGCACAGATGGATGTTTAAAGAATCTGTGCAGGGCTATGGAGAAGTAGGATGTCCTAGAAGATGGACAGCCAGCCTCAGAATCAGGAAGACCAGAGTTCAAGTCCCATTTTGACACATACTGCCCTGGGCAAGTCAGTTAACTCTCATCACTCTAAGCAGATCTTTCAGACTTTAAAATACAGAGAAGGGGTGGCAATCCCCATTGGTAAAGGGAGTTTCCTCACCAGAGTTCCCAAATGCTATTTGAATCACATTTCCAGTTTCTACCCCTACACTGGGCTACAAACCTCCAAAAACCAAGCCATAATGTACATAATAATTGCACTGTCTACCTCAGAGAGTTGTTAGAAAAGAAAACACTTTGTAAACCAAAAAGCATTATATAAATGTGAGTTTTATAATTGATTACTTTTTAAAGAAAGAATAACAATAATAATAGCCGACATTTATATAGCACTTTTTTGTTGCTGTTTACAAAACGTTTTATATGCATTATTTTATTGGATCCTCAAAATGACCCAAGTAGGTAGATGTTTTTGTTATTATCTCCATTTTACAGATAAGAAAATCAAGGCTCAGAGTGGTTAAATGATGTGCCTAGAGTCCTAATAAGTGTCTAATGTGAGATTTAAACCCAGTTCTTCCCTGATTTCAAGACTGGCAATCCGCCCTATACATGATGGCTTTCAATTGCATAATTAAAGGATTCCTACTCCCACCCCTCCTCCCTGATCTGAAGGCTGGCAGAGTCAAACAGAGCCTCTATGAACCCTGCAGCTTTGCTACCTGCCCACCCTAGCCCTCTGACCACATTCCTAGTCTAGCCATGGGGAAGTAGATCGACACGAGGATCAGAAAATTCAAAACCACTTTCCAAAAATATCTGAGTGGCTGACAGATGGAGATATGTTGTATGAAGGCGCAGGAGGAGAACGAATTGGAAATAAAATGAAAGATGCTGAAGAGACCATAAACAGTGCTGGAGGGTAGGTTTCAGGCTGGAGGTGCTTGTCTCTGTCACCCTATTTCTAATGCAATTAGAGCTTGGGCTGGAGAAACTATGAGCATCCCAGGGGCTACCTGTAGTGCTGACTTCTGTAAGTAGTATTAGGACTATAAACTCTTTACAGAATGTGATTGTTTACAGTCTTCCTTTGCTGCCTGGAACTCACTTGACCAAAAATTCCTATACTTTGAGCATTAAAACCTCCTTAGAGGTCCATGCCTCTTAGTGCCTAAAACGGGCTGAAGATCACAGGTCTAGAGCTAGAAGCAACCTTAGAAGTCAGCTAGGTCAACTCCCACCCCAATTTACAGATAAGGAAACTTAGGCCCAGAGAGTTTAAGTGTCTAGGATCACACGGGTAGTAAAAGAGGATCAATCTAAACTCAGTCCCAATGATGTGCTAAACACCAGGAAGGGTAGAATACAAGCTAACATAAGCATCGTGACAAAGACTTTCATTAGCCTCTTGAACTCCAATTATTCCTCCTTTTGAGGGACCCTGACTCTTTCAGGCAAGGGAGAACATATCTCAGGGGCTATTTCCAATAATGCTTAAAAATCTCATACACACACACACTCACACTCACTCTCACACACATGCCAAGCACTATGCCACGTGAACCAAAGGAAGCCAGGGCAACTCCACTTACAACCAGGGTGGAGTCTGGGCAGGGAAAGGTCCCAAGATTTCAACTTCATCTTCACTTGACTGGCAGCAGCTACACTCGTAACACTTTTGACAACAGTGGCGACAGGTCCATCTACACAGCAGCAGATCAGAGATTCTAGAAAGAAAGCCCTGAGGAGAAGTGGAAAGGGATGGGGGAAGGGGAAGGTAGGGAGGAGGAGATAAGAAAAAAAACAAAAACAAACCCACTAATATTAACACCTGTCAATCACTGATGATCGATGGTGATGATCACTGATGAGAAACAAAGACATTCAGGAGGTCTGTCCCTACTGCAAACACTTAGAACAAAATGTTTTCCCATTTCTATTTACCAACTGCAGGCAGCATGACAGCAAACAGAATCTTACTGAAGCTATAGAGAGAGAGAGACAGAGACAGAGAGACAGACAGAGAGAGAGAGAGAGAAAGCCATTGCAGGTATTTTCTTTTGTAGTTTATTTGATTGCCTTCTTTGATGTGTGGGTGGTTTACACAACATTGTGGGAAACAGACTATATGTTCCTGAAGCTAAATGCATATTATTTCATCTTCTTTTAAAAAGCAAAAACAAAAACCAAAAAACCGATTCCAGTGGCATGACAGTGAATAAGAAAAAGAATATTAAATGGCAGGGGTGGGGGAAGAACCCCTTCATGTAAACTATTTACTCTGGATGGGGTCCTCTCCCTCAAGCTGCCTTCTACAAGAACATCTCTAATTGCGCAGTTATCAATGTCTGACTGTTTAATACTCTCTCTCTCTACCTAGTACCCTAGATAAGACGCCCAAATGAAAGACAACCCCTTCTTGATTAGAAACCAGACAGAACGAATCATCCAATTAACTCACCTCATTTAATGGCTCCAACTGTCCTTTTAGGTATCCATTATGAAGCAAGGGATGGGGGTGGGGTGAGGGAAGAAAAGGAAAGAGACAAGGACCAGTTTAGCAATGCTCAGACAACTCAAAAATCCCCACATCTTTCTACTTACCATCTCGGGGGACAGAATAAAACTTCCTAACAAGGGGTTGCTATATCCAGGGCTGCTACTCCCCTCATGACAAACCACATCTAATAAATAAATGGGAAACTTTAGCCTTTCAATTGGATTTGCACCGTATGGTGTATGAATCAGAGCGGGTGGATAGACAGTTGAGCTATCCAATGCAGCCACACTTTGGGGAAAATAGCAAACCTTCCTATACAGAAATATCCAAGAAGCCAACCAAAATGTATCATTAGCTCACGCAGCAGGCAAACACATCCTGGAGGCCATTTGGTCCCCCCATCCTCCCAGAGGCCTATCCTTCCAACTTTGGCTTCTAAGGTAGAGATGGTAGGAAGTTTAATCTTTCTGATACTCTCTGAAGCCAGCTTCTGTGGAGCTCAAACTCATGCTATATTTTCCCCTCCTCTCCACCATTCTCTGCCTCAGACATGCCCAAAGCAATATCCCTTAGCCTCTTCCTCTCCCACCCTGTTGGCTCTCTAACTGTGCCCATGAGACAGGGGAGGAAATAAGCAGCAGACTGGGAATGTTTAATGGGGCCAAGTTTGGCAGGAAGGGGAAGAATGAATAAGATCTGTAACAAGCCTGGTTTCCTAGAGCTAGTCCAGCCTGGCTCCTAAGCTAGACACTGAGTTTATCAGAGTTGTTAGGAGGGAGAACAAACCACATCTGAAGCTGGATAGCAGCATAGAATGGGGTTTAGTATCAAGATATATGCATTCAAATCCTGTCTCTGAAACCTGTTGCCTGTGTGACCTTAGTTAAGTCATTTCTTTTCTTTGGGCCTCAGTTTCTTCATCCATAAAATGAAGGGACTAGATGACCTCAAAAATACCTTCTAAATTTAGATTTATTATCAAAAACAGAAATAGGACTCTGAGTAAACTTAACAGACATTACTATGGTTAACAGATGGGCATCAGGGACAGACTTCTTGAATGTCATTATTTCTCATCAATGATTGACATCAGCGATTGACTGATGGTAATATTGGGGGGGGCCTTTGCCTGTCTACCTAACAAATAGGGGTGAGGATAGAGGAATATTTATATTTATATTCTTCCTATATTTATATTCCTCCTATATACTTTCCATATACCTCATGAGGTTATTATGAGGATCAAATGAGATAATGTGAAAGTACTTTGTAAAGCATAAGGCACCATACAAAAAATAAGCTACTATGTCCTATCTTTATTTTTAGCTATCAGGGAAAACTTCTCTATTGATGCTATAATCTTCAAGGAAATAATGAGACAAAAAGACACACATAGAAGAAGTTTGGTTTCCTAAATTCCTCACAATGGAACACCATCCCCTGACCGTGTAACCTAGCTACAAAATGTATGTTTTGGTATCAGGGAAGGGAAAGATGATGAATGAAATGTATGCGGGGAGGTTCCAACCAAACTTCAAATATACTTCCTGTGGGTTTCTCTAAGAAGAACCTACAGTTCATATCTATGTGTGGTCAAAGAAAGATTCATTCAAAGCCAGAAAATGCTGCCTGAGGAGTGGTCTGGAACCTATGGAAAAGGAATGAGATAAAGAATGTTCTAAAGGGAAACTAGATATTTTGAAGGAAAAGCAGAAGCCTGGGGCCCTCCAAAGACTAGGTGCTTAATAAATGTTTGCTGTTGTTAATGATGATAATGGAGATAAAGAGACCTAACTGAAAAGGGCCTTGAGACATTGTAAATGTGAAGAAGCCTAGGCTGGGGGGAAGGAAAAAAGGTTGATCACACATATGAAATCTATGAAATAAGGTCAAATATCAAAGACAGTACCTCAGCAGGAAAATCTATGGTTGAACCCCAATGGGTGCATGACTAGGGAGAGGAGAACTGGGCACTGAACCACCGATGCATGTGGAGATTTTATGTGAACTTTAAAATGCCAGATTTAGAGATGATGTAAAAAGAAAAAGAGAGAGAAATTGACTACGAATCAAGAAAATTTTTACAGTATCAGCTCCAAATAACCGACTCTGTGACCTTGGGAAAGTCGCTCACCCTCTCTGGGTCTCAGTTTCTTCTACTGTAGTTCTCCATTGTAACATTCTATAGTTCTCTGCATTCCTCAGAGTGCCAGAAAGCTTTAGGCACCCTCATGACCTTGAAGCTTGAAGCCCTAATTCAGCAGTCTTGGGGATAAAGGCCAATGAACCAAGCACAGATCCTTTAAAAGGCCTGATTTGAAATTATCTCAGTTAAAGGCCAACTGCCAGGTCTCCTAACCTTCTCACCTCACCTTACCTCCTTTCTTTTTTTTTCTTTTTCCTTTTTTTTTTGTGTGTGGTTTTTGGTTTTTGCTAGGCAATGGGGACCTTACCTCTAAGTTCTCCTCTCATTACTACCACTCAATGCACTGTCCTTCCTCACCAATCTACATTTCATGTCCAATCATCAAGTCATTTTCGTCTCTCCAGCTCTCCTCCTTCAGCAGCCAAGCCTAAGGAGAAGGGAGATGTCCTTGTCCCTCTCGCCAAACAGCTGCATGTCTCCGCTCGGGCGGCCAATTAGCCTGAGCTGTAACCACGGTAACTGCAGCTGGCCGACTACCCGCCGGCTTGCCCCGGGCGGTTCTCCTTAGAGCCCCACCCTCTCCTCCCCTTCCCCTACCGCCACCCCCCAGGCTCCGATTGAGGCCTTGGGGAAAGGATACCCCTTCCCCACTGCTCCACAGCTAAAGCCCAGAACTCGCAGCTGCTGCCACTGCTGGAGGCTAAAGACAAGGCACGGCAGATCCACGAATGGTCCTGTGGGTGCCAGGAGCTTCCCTGCCCCGCCCATATCGCACCACGCCCCACCCCAGTCCAATCTCACCCAGACTGGACAAACCCAGAGTCTCCTTGCAGTAACCTGGGCCTCATACCCTGAACTATCCTTCTCACCCTAACTATCCTTCTCACCTCTACATTATTCTGCATCCTCCCTCCACCCAGTCCTGCGCTCCCCACTGCCCTTCCACGTCTGCTTTGCCCCAGCCTCAATAGCGGCTGTTGGTCTCAACCACAGAGCTCCCGGGCAGCTCAAGAGCCCGCGCAAACAGGTTGCCTCTTTGAAACCTTTTATTCCCAAACTGCCACTGTCTCTCCCTTTTTCCCTCCTCCCCTGTTCTTTTGGCAAGTTTCTTGCGCGTGAGGCTGAGCGCCAGCCCCACGGCAAACCGATGAGCCCAACAGGGCGCAGCTGGCCAGCTCCGGGCTACTGGTCCTGGTCCTCATCGAATCGTCCCCATTCCTCCTCCGCTGCTGCCAACGCCATTCCCACCCCAGCCCTGGCCCCGGCCCCGACACGTCCCCTCCTGCCACAGCCTTACCTGTATATACGCCATTTTCACTCGCTCTCACTCCAGCCCGGGCATGGCGCTGCTACATCCACTTTGCCCTCTACAACAAGGGAGGTGAAGAAAGGGAAAGGGGGGAGGAGGAAAAAAACCAACCCAATCGCCCCAGACGTGACTTGCTTGGCTGATCAGTGGCGCCCATGCCCACCGCTCAGCTGGCCGCCCCGTCTCTTCCTCTTCATGGTCCTGCCCCCAGGCTCTCGGACCTGGGTGGGTGCCTTATAGACGGAGAGAGAGCCAGAGGAGGGGGCCCGCCTGACCTGCGCCCCAGCAGCACCCTACTCCCTCCTCTCTTTCCCCCGCCCCCAGGCGCTTCTGCCTTCTTCCTTTCCCTGCGCTCTGATCTCGGCCGCCAGCGGCGCCAGGAGCCTCAGGCGCCTTCTAGCTTCTGGCTCCCGCCTCTCACTGGCTCCGCGATGCTCCCGGCCGGCCACGAAGAGGCCCCTGAGCTTGGTCCACACTGCGGGCACCTGGTAACTGAGTCCAGGGCAGCCCTAGAGTCAGCTAGCAGCCAAGCTCAAGGGTCCACAGCCGGTCTCATCTGAAGACAGAAGGAGCAGAGCTTCGGGGTGGGGATAGGGAAAGGGGATGCAGAGGGAATAGCCGGGGCGGGGGCGAGAGGGGGAGAGTAAGTGATGCACAGGGTAGTGTCGTTCTGTCCCAGGAGCCTGCACCTGTCGCAGAGCATAACAGAAACTCAGCCTCGAAGTTACTGCCTAGGAATTGTCTAAGTGACATTTAGGGGTTGTGGCCCAAGATGATGAATTCGCTCAGTCCCCCTTTCCCTGACTTAGGGGACAAAAAAAAGTACATCTATTCTGTATTCATCTGAAACCTCTCAGAGCAGAGAGAACCCAAGAGAGTTGACATAGGGACTGCGAGGCGCTAATAGACCAGGTGGTATGGAGGAGGCACCATAAGGAAAGCCTCAGAGCAGGAGTAAAGGGAGGGACCAAAAGTCGAAAGAGAAGAGGAAAGGATGTGGGCCACGCGGGGGCCCCAAAGTGACTGGCGCTCCCCAAGTCCCAGAGTTAGTGTTCCCAGTGCGCAACAGGTTGGGCGCAAAGAGGTCCAACAACGCCACCCAGCGGGCGCAATGCTACACTGCTTCAGAAAGGAGCGGCCAGCCCTTCAACCTGTTGCCGCCACAGTGTGAGTGATTTGAAGTTACAAAGTAGCCTTGTGCCTCGCAGGAGCCATAGACAGAAACGGGAAAAGAAAAAGGAGAGGGCTGGGAGATATTTGAAAGGTGGGTCAGGGTGAGGAATACAGAAGTTGACCACAGCAAAATTGTGGCAAAAGTCCGAAGGTGCCCATAGTGCCACTTTCACCCTCCCCTGCCCCATTAAATATATGTACGCATGTGTGTATGTATGTATGTATGAATGTGTGAATGTATGTGTGTGTGTGTGTGTAAACCTGCCAGATGTCACAGTGTCTTAAATCTCATCATCAGTTTGTTGACTTATTTTGGATTCAAGTCTCACCCAATAGCTCTTTCAAACTACACCTAGTGCAAAGTCACTAACATCTTAAATTAGCTTTCCCAAACTAATTTCTTCACAAACCACTTTGGTATTTGAAATATATTGATGAAACCCATAAATGCTGTTCCAGAGGTGCTGGGGGCATGGAATTCCCTCCCTCTCTCCCTGTAAAGTAGATGGGCATAAGCTTAGAATTGAGAAAACTGAGTCTTTTTATTCTCCCAAACTATTGCAGATAATGCATATTTTTGATATATACATTATTTTGCATTTTAGAGGGGAAAATTTCATTAGTATTGAAGTTTTCTCACAGAAACCTTATTAGTGTCCCATGGAACAACTAGAATTCTGTGAAAAACAATTTGAGAAATGCTGCCATTAGTAAGAAAATTAGTTTAGCATCTCAGGCACTGGTGGAGCCTGGAGAGGGGAGAAGGGTGGGTGGGACAGAATCCAAGAATCCCTGGCACTTGCTCGTGAGGGTGTTAGAAAGGTGAGACAGAGAACACTGGAGACAAATGCCTCATTCACAGTTTTGCTTAGGGCTTATTCTCTATGTACTTAGGGTGAGGAGTTAGGTTGGAGTTCTTGATAATGGATAGAAGTAAAGCTAATCCTAAATAGAATTGTGAAATAAATTGTTTGTCTTTGGGATTGCCCAGGCTCCTGTCTGTCCCCTGGTGAATCCTCATCAGGCCATGCAGCACTCTCCCCTTTTGATCTTATGTGAGCACATGTCTCTAGGCAGAGGATACTAGATTCACAGACTCTAGGAGATAGAAGGAACCTTTCTCCACTGCACCCTGCTCCACTTTCATAATGATTGTATGTCTCCCTTGGGATGACTCAACTCTCTGGTCAACTCAATGATTGCTGGGTCCCTGCCTGAACCCAATATATCATCACAAGATCCAGCCATTATTCGCACTCTTCACTTCCAGTTAGCTCTCTGTGCTGCTCCACCTCCATACTGGCCGCCTGCCTCTTCCTCACCCACCTCCATTTGCATACTTTCCTCCCACTCTCCCTTTTCAGCTCCCCCGTATGTTTTGTCTTCCCCTATTAGGATGTAGGCTTTTTAAGAATAGGGACCCATCAAAAAGGACCTACGTGTAAAACAAATATTTATGGCAGCTCTGTTTGTAAAGCAAAGCATTGAAAATTGAGGGGATACCCATCAACTGAGGAATGGCTGAAAAAGTTGTAGCATATGAATGTTATGGAATATGTAAAGATACTATTAGGAGATACCCTGTTTTCCAGAGCTAAGGCCCAGCAAGCAAGCTGTGCCCTAAGCTTAGCATAACAACAATCCTTTGAGTTCACCTTCTGGACCTGATAGTCCCTGAGCTTGAGCAAGCATCAACAGGTCCAGACATGAAGCTTTGCTATGAACTGACTTTTTGTCACTAGACAACCTTGCCTCACTGTTGCTGTTGTGCCTCAACACTGTTGCTACATTAAATTGTGTGATTCTTTATCTAGCCACAAGTATATAAATCAAGGTTCAGCCCCACTGCCTTGGGTCCCCCCAACTAGGGGTGGGGCCCCAGCACATGTGTCCTTGCTCACAAGCCATTTCTCTCATTTTGAAATTAAATTTCTGTTTGATTCCTGACTCTTCTGTCTCTAGCATGTTCTGTTGGCTCCAACCATCCACAGGTTAGAGGCTAGTTCAGTTCGGTTGACATTAATTGGTCAGAATTAGGACTGAACCTGGAACCGGGTCATTGGACTCTCCCATACCAGCAGGAACAGACTAGGTGCCACAGAAGATTTATTTCTTCAAAGTCCGACACTCACCCCCCCATCTGGAGAGTCCTGTGCCCTTCTCCCTGCCCCAACAGAGGAAAACTCCAGGGCCCCTCTAGTGACCTGATTCATCTCAGATCGCTCTGGCAAGGATATCCTTTCTTAAACTGTAACTTCTTGTCTCTGTTTTTAAACTGCACTCCTTGGTAACTATGTACCTCTGCCTAACTGGTTAAAATTAGAATTTTAATTGCATGCTTTGTTAAAACTGTTTGCGAATGTTTGTATATCTGTCTTGTCATTTTGTCTGTGTTTGTCTTTGTAAAACATAAAATGTCTGTGTTGTGTTTGTGTTGTGAGCTAGATTCTGTTACCTTGAAAGATTTAAAATTCAGTCAGAAAGAAAAACTTCTAAGGGATGTAGCCAAAGAATTTAGAACACTGGGAAAGATAATGAACTTTTATACCTGAAGTAATTGTCCCAGTAAACAGGACTAACTCCCACTTTAGACTTTCTGCAGGAGATTAGGTTATAAGAAAAAAAATCTGCAGGACACTTTTTTTCTGTCATTTCAGCTTTGGTTATGCTGGAATTACAGAAATAAAGTCAGATAATCAAAATGTGTAGAACTACTAAAAAAAACACCTTCATAGATTAAGAAGTTTGAAGATTAATCATTTTAAGATTGCAGAGGAGAACTCCTGGGATTTGGGGTAATTCCAGGAATTCACTCCCTTCTGAAAATATCTTAGTAAATTTTGGGGTATAAAATCAGGATTAGATTTTGTAGAAGTCTTAAAAGTAAATGGCAAGGTTAATAGCTTCATTGTTCTTGGGTAATGAAGGATGGCAGGTAGTTTGGAAGTAATCCCAGAGTAAAGAAAGAAAAAAAATGGGTAAACAGTTTACACTTTATAACAGCCCCTTGTTAACCCTTCCCACTGTTGCTACACTACACTGTTTTATTCTTTATCTAACCACAAGTATATAAATCAAGATTCAGCCCCATTGCCTTGGGTCCCTGCAACTAGTGGTGGAGCCCCAGCACATGTGTCCTTGCTCACAAGTCATTTCCCTCACTTTGAAATTAAACTTCTGTTTGATTCCTGACTCTCCTGTCTCTAGCCTGCTCTGTTTGGCTCCAGCCACCTACTGGTTAGAGGCCAGTTCAATCTGGTTGACAAATTCTATTGTGCTATAAAAAATGATGACTAGGCGAATTTCAGAAAAACCTGGAAAGGCTTATATGAACTGATGCAAAATGAAGTGAGCAGAACCAAGAGAACATTGTACACAGTAGCAGCAACAGTATGATGATCAACTATAAATGATTTAGCTCTTCTCAGCAATATAATGATCCAAGACAATTTCAAAGGACATATGATAGAAAATGTTATCCATATCCAGAGAAAGAACTAATGGAGTCTGAATACAGATCAAAGCATACTATTTTCACTTTCTTTATTTTTTTCATAGTTCTTTTCTTTTGGCCTGTTTCTTCTTTCACAACATGATTAATCTGGAAATGTGTTTTACATGATTGCACATACATGACCTATATTAAATTGCTAATCTCAGAAACAGGGGAGGCAAGGGAGGGAGAGAGATAATTTGAAACTCACATTTTTTTAAATATGAATGTTAAGAATTGTCTTTACCTCTAATTGGGAAAAAATAAAATACTATTTTAAAATGAATAAACTACATGGTTAAAAAAAAGAATAGGGACCATCTTATTTCCTTCTTTTTGTATCCTCAGCTCTTTGCACAGTAAGTATCCCCAGCCTGGAA